TGCTTGTTTGGCTGCATCCCACAGCATGCAGGATCTTCTTAGTTCCCCGACCAGGGATCGAACCCGTGACCCCGGCAGTGGAAGTGCAGAGTTCTAACCACTGGACTGCCGAGGAAGCCCCCTGGTCACAGTTTGGAATATGCTTATGAAGTCCAGTCTGGAAGTAAAAGATGATTCCAAGGCTTCAAGCCTTAACAAACTGACACTACTGGGGCTTTTGACCTTGTCTCCATTTCTCAGCTGGAGATAATGGGCTAGAACTCAGAAGGCACAAGCTGGAGGCATCTGGGAGTCATTCACAGGGGCAAAGCTAACACCACAAGACCAGATGAGATACTCCCTGAGAAACACATGAAGACCAGTACTTCAAAACAACCCTGCCTTACCCTACCTCTAGCTTTAGTATCGTCTCTCTAGCAATAAATCTAGAAAAACATCCGTAAATGAAGACTCTAAGGGTAGGAATAATACAAATTAAACTGGAAAACTGCCTGAGAAAAAAAATAGCATAATGCATGTGAAAATCATACTAATGTTGATAAATGTTGATAATGTGATACGGTATACAAAGACCTAACTTCTCCAAGCTTCTCCAAGTAATCGCTTTCAAGTGACAAACCTATAGATCATTCATTCTCTTCTTTTTTGGGATCATGGAACTCTTTGAGAATGTAATGAATACCAAAAGCCATCTCTCCAGAAAAACACACACACATACAACACTAAGCCTATAAATTTCCAAGGGTTTCGTGGGCCCCCTGCGGCTCAACCAGAGCCCTTTCTAGCTGTCAACTCCCAAGTCCCTGAGTAACTCCTGCTACAGATACTTCATCTGACAAAGCCCAGAGTTACAGCACATTTAAAAGTATGTAAGCCTTTTCTTTTTAAACTATATTTTCATGTACTTTAAGACAGTGCAGAGGAAATGTATATTTGCATTTTTTTGGCCTCAAAAAAATTAAAACGTATTTGTTGAGTGAAACAAGTCAACACCATAAACAGAAGGGCATATGATGGTAATAATATCTTCACGACAAAACAGCTCTGAGAGGCTAAGTGATTTTATAAGGCCAAAGAGCTAATAAATTCTAGATCTTCCACATCCTAGCTCAGTACTTTTTAACTAAACCATGCCACCTTAAATATAATAAGCATATTATTACACTGCATAGGATATAGTTTTCAAAATAAAAATCCCTTATAACACCAACCTTCTAAGAATGACTATAAATAATTAGGCCTCTAACTTACTTACTTAATTGGATCATTCCATTTTTAGCACCTAAATACTGACAAATTAAGGAGCAAATTATATATACCGGCTTTTGAAAAAAATTCTTTAAGGCACTACTCTCTAATCAACACCATTTGTAAAAATAATGAAAATCGAAAACAGCAAAATACAAAAAAATCTGTTATCTTTATAGCATGAACATGACTATATACAGACAAAAATACAAATAGTTTAAGCTTTGGGTCATTCAGCAAACGGGATATGACGCCAAAAACCACACAGAGTTTCTCTGCTTTGGGCCCCTGATATTAGAAGAGTCTGGCAGGCAGGGATCAAGTATCTATTATCTGATGTCCACTTGGAAGACTCTAAAAAACAGTGAGGCCTGGCTGCACAGCAGGAGTTAGGTATTCTAACTACTACCTAAAGATCCACTCTAACTCGGAGTGTGGCTGCAACTAACATGCTAAACTAAGTGTGTGCCTCCGTTTCTCCACTGGAAATTCGATAATACATTATCTGCCCATATGCTGGTTAAGGACACAGTAGCTAGAGCAAACTGGTTCACATTTTGGCTTTGCCACCTACGAACTTTGGCAAGTTACTGTAACTTCCCTGTGCCTTAGTTTCTTCTGATGCAAAATGGAGTTAATAACAGCATCTCTTTCATTGGGCTATTGTAAGGATTGAGGTAATACATGGAGAAGTCTTCGAGCAGTGCCTGGCAAGTAATAAGCACTCTATAAATGTTAGTTTCCATTATCATTATTTTAAACAGATGACAAGATTAATCAACTTATACCTGCACTGCACTTAGATGTCCTTAGGAAATTACAGGCCTTAACTTTTTTACGTTTTAATCATGTGGCTTAACTACCAGCTGTTTTTTCTAAATATAGTAAATACATGGCCAATTATTCTTGTAAAGAACTGAAAAAGAACTTACTGTCTACACTGCCACCTAAGCCTGACACATTAGCAAAGTTTCAGTTAACTTTTCATCTCAATATAACCAGACTCCCTTTTTAAAAAATTTATTTATTTATTATTATTATTATTTTGCGGCTCTGTTGGGTCTTCGTTGCTGTGCACAGGCTTTCTCTAGTTGTGGTGAGCGGGGGCTACTCTTTGTTGTGGTGCGCAGGCTTTGCATTGCGGTGGCTTCTCTTGTTGAGGAGCATGGGCTCTAGGCACGCGGGCTTCAGTAGTTGTGGTGCACGGGCTTCAGGAGTTGTGGCTCGCGGGCTCAGCAGTTGTGGCTCACGGGTTCTAGAGCGCAGGCTTAGTAGTTGTGGCACATGGGCTTAGTTGCTCCCCAGCATGTGGGATCTTCCCAGACCAGGGCTTGAACCTGTGTCCCCTGCATTGGCAGGTGGATTCTTAACCATTGTGCCATCAGGGAAGCCCTAACCAGACTCCCTTAACCAACTCTAAGCTACCTGGATTCACTCACTTCAACTTTCACAATCACTACAAATTCCAAGCACAATACCGTAATGGTTATGCTTACAGTGGCCTCCTAACTGCTCTTTACCTCTGCCCCCCCATCTCCACTCCCCACACTGCAGTAGGTAAAGCTTGAAAGCTTGTAAAAATCCAAGTCTAATTTCACTCTCCTACTTAAAACCCTGCAATGGTTCCTTATTGTCCTAAAGAGAAGTCCCACCTCCTTACAAGACCAAAGAGGCCTGCATGATCTAGGGTCATCCTCCCTCTCCGGCTACTGAGGCCACATAGGCCTTCTTTCAAATCCTCACCCTGTTCTTTGGTGCCTCCAAACCTGCACAGATCATGCTTCCTCTATCTGGCATAATTCCCTCTCCCCATTGCCTCTGACTCCCCAGCGGAGATGAAGTCCTCCTGTTATACGCTCTCCTAACCCTAATCCTAATCCTCTCCTCTCCTCTCGGCAGCACGAAAGAAAACTCAATAAAATAATTATTTAAACGGTTGTTTAATGTTGTTCTTGTCCAAAAAATATAAACAAGTAAGACTTGGGAACATGTCTCTCTTTTAGCGCTACAACCCAAGTGCTTAGATAGATGCACAGTACCTTATACACAGTAGGTGTGTCACATAGGTGACAACATAGACACCTGTGTTGTCTATGGAGAAAAGTGGTGATATAACTGATGATGGAAAGCAAATCATCCACAAAACAAGACTAATGCAGAATACTGGCTGCACTGTATTAAATATCTAAGTTACCATATGCATTACAAGTGAAGTAAAAGTAAAAACCTACTGCTTAAAGGTGGGCAAAATAAAGTTAAGACTCAACTTTCCAAAGTAAAGTTAAGTTTCTTTGTGCATCCTCAGGTGTTATGTGAAACAGGCGGAGTTCCACTTCAGTTACCAGTAAGAAGATACACAACCAAATCAAGACTGCTGCCACATTTGGCACAGGCCTGCTCTTCTTGGCAGTCTCTGTGAGGCCAAGAGTTGAGCTGGCCAGAGGAGCATGATTTATCTGCCACATTTAGAAGTGGTCCCTCTACAACAGGAATGCTATGCTACTAATGGGCTTTGAATTCTAACCTTGCCAAACCAGTACCTTTCCTAAGTATTCAATTCACTTATATGTATATATATATTAAAAAGCTGAATCCTATGTGTCACTGACAAAAACAAGTTTAATAAGGCATCACGGTCCAATTCGAGTTGGAGAAAAAGTTGCTCTTTCGAAAGAAAAAAAGAAGGAAAGAAGGGAGGGAAAGAAAGAAAGAAAAGAAAGAAAGGGAGAAAGGGAGGAGGGGAAGAAGGAAGAAAGAAGTCATGCTAACCAGATCTCTTTTACAAAAGAAAGTCATTACTTGGAAAATTAAAAGAAACTGGTATGCGGATGCTAGGAGGCTTAAGGTTGAGGGGCTGTCGATGGACGCTGCCCAGTGAAATGACTATCGCCGGGCCTGGTGGGCAGCAGTTGCCAACCCACCGCGAACAATCCCAGGTCCGTGAGAGCATGCAGGTTTGACATAAGCCAAACCCCTGCTGTCCGGCTCGTCGCACTGACCCTGCCAATGCAACAAACGCGCAGACCCTCTCCGCGCGGTGAGGAGCGGAGTTGCCGCCGCCATTCAGCGCTTCCCGGGAAATGCGCGTCCGGGGGAGGCTCAGGTAAGGACCCGGGGGTCTCGGGATTAAACGTTTGGCCCTTTGTTCTCTGCACGGTCGCGGAGCCCTGGGCACCCGCCGCTCCTCCTCGCCCACCGCTCCCGGGCGCCAGCGTCCTTCGCCGACAGGCAGCGCGGACTCGGGCGCCCCGACTCGCTGGGGCCCCTCGCCCTCCCCGCGGCGGGTCAGCGCCCCACGGCCTCAGCGGCGCGCGGCCCCTCGCCCTCACCTTGTAGACGTCGCCGTAGGTGCCGCTGCCGATGCGCTGAATCAGCTCGAAGTCCTCCTGAGGGTTCCGGCGGGACAGATCGAAGCAGGGGTTCATGGCGGGCCCCGGGTGCCCCCAGCCTCCCTCCCGGGCAGGGGAGGGGGGGCGCTCAGGGGGCCACACGGAGAGTGGGAGCCGCGGCGGGCCCCCTGCTCCCCCGGCGGTCACAATCGCCCGGCTCCACGCTGCGGCCGCCGCCGCGGACGACGACGACCGGCCTAACCGTCCCCGCCCCCCGCAGCCCGCCGCGGCGCCGAACCCGGGTCACACCCACACGGAGCCGAGGACGCTCGCAGCCCCTCGCTCGGGGTGAAACTCCAACATGGCTTCCGCCTTCGCTGCTCCTCCCCCTCCCCTTACTCCGGCTCCTCCACCCTCCTCCCCTTTCCCGGCTCCCGCCCGACTGCGCAGCTGCGAGCCCGGAGGGAGCGCTCCCTGGCCCCGCGCGCGGCCCTCCCCTTGCGCGCTCCGGCTCCCCGCGCTTGCCTGACGAGGCCCGGTCCCCGGGCCCTATTCGGCCAAAACGGCCGCGGCTTCCCCGCGCGTGACCGCCGCTGTGCCGTGCCAGAAAAGGCTCGCCTGCACCCCGGGACCGCGGAGGGGGGGCAGGCAGAAAGGAGCTCCTATTCGCTTCTCAGTTACCCAGGGACAAAGTCTGACGTCGCCGCATCAGGTCCCCATCCTAAGCAGGTAGTATAGTTTTAATTTGCAAGACGGCCCGTGTCCCGAACTTTTTTTTTTAGAAGCAACTATACATAGGACACAGTCGAGTCCCACAGACTTTCTGGGATTGCGGGGAAGGGGTTGTTGTCCTGAGGAAATCCCCTGAAAAAAGTGAGCTGTGCTTGCTGCGACCCCTGACACTCGGGCCCTTTGAGTTGACCTGACAGGGTGCAAAAAAGGACGGGTCAGGAGGGCGGCCAGGGAGGCGTGTGGAGTGGGTAGGCCGTGGGAAGCTCTGGAGGAAAAACACGCCAAACGGCCGCCAGCCCTTCCGCGTGGAGGGCGTGGGAGGCAGCCAGAGGCCAGAACTAAAGCAGTGCTTGACCTTCACCAGAGGCGTCTGGATTATCAAAGACGGGGGAGGGGACCAGCAAGCTGTCTAGCAACCTCGCAAAGGAGAGGTGGGGTGGGGGTGAAGAGTGGAGCGTGGACGAGATCCATTCCCATACCTGAAATGTCAACCTGTGATGGTCCGCACGCTCTACAGCTTAACTACCCAAAGCCCCACCCTGCTTCAGACCCAGATTGCAAACCTTGTGGACACCAGCTTCAACTCTTATTATCTGTCCAGGAAAGCCTGTGGGTATGGAGGCCTAATTTTCTGTTTTCAATAAACTGCCCAGTAGGCATTGCCAAAAGCTTTAATCAAGTAGGTAGGTGATGACCACTTCGGCAATACCGCTTTGGAGTTTTGCTTCAGAAGCTGTTTCCTAGTACCCTTAGGCACCACACCTTCTGACCGTTAATATTCCCTAAGGCCTCGTGGCTCCCCGAAAAACTAGGTCTTATCAAACTTGTTAAATATAAAATAAGTATAATCAAATAATAGTCAAGCGAACTATTTACAGTTAACTGCCTCGTACATTTTTATCTTTTCCATCTCTTTGCCTACAGTAAGATTGCATGTTTACTAAATTCTCAAAGAAGTTATTTGCCCTATCTGTTGACTAAAAGATGTTGGAAAATGACCATCTCTTCACCTATACAAGTAGACTTTCAATTATCTAGTTTTTAATTATTTTAAAGCATCAGTACTAGGAGCATATTACTGCTGCCCTATGAATGCTTATCATTGGGTTCCTTCTAGATGGATCGACCTTAAAAGACTCTGGTATCTTGAGAATTAAACTCCTGACTATAAATATTATTCCATGGATAAGGACCCTGTTTTTTGCCTGTTTAAGGCACTTGCCCAGAGGCAAGCCTTCCTTCAGCCTGTCCACTTTTGGAGAATTGTTTGGCCTCCTTAAGCCAAACATGAGGATAATTAGCCCAGGGTTCAGATAAGCAGACCTAATAAACGATCTCAAATAGGAACCAGTTCTGCTCTCTTTTTCTGCCTTTTTAATGCTGGAAAGCCAAATTCTCAGGATTGAATGCTGCACAAGAACGTTCTAATGGTTTCACTGTTTTGTTTGCGAGGATTATCTTCTGTGCAGATAACTTTGCATTTGCATCACTAATAGACTTCTTTCAAAGGGAAAAGACATTTCAGTAGGGCTGAAACAGTCTTTAAAGTTTTGTTTGTTCCATTTTGGCAAGGCCAAGCTAGTCCTTTTGAAAAGACATGGATTTGCATGTAAGGGCCTGATTTGCCGTATGGGTTACAACATAAATAAAAGGGCTTTTGCAATCAACAAAGAATAAAATATTTTGCTGTGGGTAATACATACATACAGCCAAATCTGATGTCTGTTTTTCTATTCTAACACTCCTCAGCTTCACTAGAAGTAACACTAATGATCACACTTTCTTTGAATCAGAGAAATAACTTCCCTCTTCTATGATTAGAAGCATCCTTAGAAGTCCTAAACTGCTTCTACAGCATCTCTCCTGGATTTACTGCTGCTTGAATACCTTCAGTAAAAGGGAACTCACTGCTTCCGAAGTACCCTGGTTCAGTATAAGATAATGCTAGTGAATAATCATAACAATAATAAAAAAAATATCTAAAATTACCAAGTGCCTACAGGGTGCCAGGAACTGAGCCAAGTACTTTCCATGTATTATCTCATTTAATTCTCACAACAACTTGATGACATAGATATTATTATCTCCATTTTTTGAGGCACAGACAGATTAAGCTACTCAAGGTAATACAGAAAGCTGAAATTTGAATAGAGGTAGTAAGACACAAAGGCCAAGCTCTTAGCCACTAGTCTGTAGTTAAAGTATACTTTAAAAAATTTCTCTTATGCTAAGCCAAAATCTGCCTCCCTGTTACTCAATTGGAGTCAGTGATTATTAGATTCTAGTGGTGTAGAGTACAAAGAAGAAAAACCAGGGTGCCTGACCTCAAGGAATTTGCAGTCTCATAAAACAGTGTGAGAAAAACAAAGGAGGGACCTAAATGTAGACAGGAAGATGTAGGAATGATGCTAAAGTAAATTTTGAAAACTATGTCAGAATTTGCCAGACAAACGGGGGAGGTGGTATACTCCAGGCTGACCACTTAGCCCCAGGTCCTTAAAGCATCCAGCCACATAAGCATCACACAGTAGGGAGCACGTAAGGCTAAGATGGACAGTAGCAGTTGCCACCATATCCAGACCACCTTTCTGTTAGCCCATCCCTCGTGCATCTGTGGCTTTAAAATTCCTTGGTCTTCACCCCAGCTTTCAGTTTCATCTTCAGGACCTCTTGTCTAATAACCCACTGGATCCACTTCTTTGGTTTATTGACCATATAGCCACCATTCACATTTTCAGTATACCACCAGCTCTGGGAAAGGAATACTGAGCCAGACTTCACTCAGAAAAGACTCATTACATCTGCCAGGGAAGGAGAATCAGACTCAGACATGTCTGTGAAACAATATGGCAGAAAGTTCCAGGAGGTTATATAACCTAGCCTAACACAGTTCTGAGCCTGGCTACCTGGGTTCAGATCTTGTCTCTGTCTCCTTACTGAACAACCTTGGGAAGTTATTTCAAACTGGGGCTATTATGAAGAGTCGAAAAGAAAATACCTGTAAAAGTCAGCGGTACCTGGCACCACAGTAATCCCACAAAGTATTAATTACTGTTATTTTGAGTACATTTTAGAATGTTTTAAAGGCTGACAGTTATGAGGATGGGGATGGAGATATGATTTAGGAAGCAAATGCAATAACATAAGAGACCTTGAATTAAGGCAAGGGAGGCCTAGGATGGAAAAAAGGGAAGGAAACTAGGAAATAATTGGATGGTGAGGAAGCGGACAGTGACATGGATGACAAGCAGGTTTCTGGCTCAGACAATTGGGAAGATCCCTAAAAGGTAATAGCATTTGCCATAATAAGAGGAACTGGGGTTATTTGGGGGAGGGTTATAACACTGGATCAAAATAGATGATTCTGTTTTGTATCTGTTAAATTAGAGGTGCTCAAATAGAAATGTGAAATAAGTGATAAATTTTACATTTATCACTAATAAAAATTAGGGTTGAAATTTTGGGGCTAATTTTTAAATTTGGAGAGCCATAGTTCAGAAATGTTTGTTGAGCATCTGTTAGGTGCCAAACATATATTAGGTTCTGGCAATGCAGTAGGTCCCTGAACTCAAGTTGGGGCTACAGACAAGTTCTCATATAATTTCTTGACAGTGAGATAAGTACGGAGGTGCAGAGAAGCAAAGCAAGAAGAAGATACTAGATGCCACTTGGGCTAATAATTTGGTTCTTTTTCAACCTATATATATATTTTTAATTTCTTTAAATGAATTTCTTAATTTTTTTAAGATAGTAAATGGATATTTTTGAAAGCATGTACTCGACATTTATTTACAGATGAGGTGGAACCCTGCATGGGGAGTGGGTGGAGATGGAAGTCCTCAGGTGTCAGCTCTCAGCTTCCTCTCTGTTATTCTGAGCAATTCAGCTCTGCTTCCAGACTTGCATACGTCCTAGCACAGTGTTTCTCAGTGGAGGTTTCATTAGCATTTTGGGTAGTCCTTGCTTGCATGGGACTGTCCCCAAGCATTATAACATCCCTGCCCCGCCATCAGTACTGCTCCCAGCCATACTGACATCAACATTTCCATATGCCTAGAGTTGGGCTGGGGGGTGAAGGTAGTGACTAGATTGAAAATGTTTGCCTATCATGTCCCATTGGAAAACTATCACCCACACCAAACTATTTATCATAGAATTCCTTTCTATTTAATATAGTATATTCCCTGAGAGAAGTCCTGATATATAAACATTGTCCCTTTCATTACATTTCCAATATTTAGTACCCAAGTGATATTTCACTGCCCTCTGTAGATGCACAACCAAGATTCCACCTGCCCTTTATTATGTAGTTTCCGGGATCACATAAGAGGGCAACGAATCTAGTCTTTGCAGGTTATGGAAGTCTTCGCAGAGGAAGGAAACTCTAAGCTGAGACTTAAAAGACAAGTTAGAGAATTAGCCAGGCAAGAAGGTATATTCCATACTGAGGGTAGAAAGTTTACATTCAAAGAAGTGAAAGTAGTTCTGTTTGGGGTGAATAACAGATGAGGCTAGAGTGGTAAATGGGGACCAGTACATTAAGGGGCATGTAAATTGTGTTAAATAATTTGGATTTTTGAGAACACAAGGGGGCTATTGATGGGTTATCAGCACAGGAGTGGCATGATCTTACTTGTGCCTTAGAAACGTTCTGCTAGCTGCAGGTGGAGAATGAATTGAAGGCAGATGGCAAGACTGGAGACAAGATGGGAGAATATGTAATGCAGTATCGTCTAATGAGCAGTCTTTGCTCTGAGCTCCTCAGTGGCCTCACTGAGCCTTTCTCAGAGCTGCTCTGCAGTCTGAGACTCGTCCCGCTTATTCCGCCATTCTTCTTCATCCTTCCAGGTATTTCCACAGATAAGTCTCTTGCACTTCTAATTCAATTTTACCATCTACAGAATTAGTACAATTAATATCAGTGAAGCAAAGAAGGAGGGAATTTTAAGAAGAGAATGAGCAAGTGTGTTAAATGCCAAAGAGAGACTGAGGAGGGAGATATAAAAGTATCATTAGGGCTTCCCTGGTGGCGCAGTGGTTGAGAGTCCGCCTGCCGATGCGGGGGACACAGGTTCATGCCCCGGTCCAGGAGGATCCCACATGCCGCGGAGCGGCTGGGCCCGTGAGCCATGGCCGCTGGGCCTGCACGTCCGGAGCCTGTGCTCCACAACGGGAGAGGCCAAAACAGTGAGAGGCCCACATACCGAAAAAAAAAAAAAAGTATCATTAGCTTTGTCATCACGGAGGTCAGTGCTGACCTAACTATTGATGTTCATAGTTCCTCTCCTGCTAGTGTGTGTCCTCTTAGTTATATCCTCCCAGATCCCCTTCAGCCTTTCTCATACATCATGATATTCATACATTTCATCTGGACCCCCCTCATATGGACACATGTAATGTATTAATATCTTTCTAAACTCTGGCACTAAGCATTGAGCTCAGTATTCCACGTGTAGTCTTGTCAGTATTGACTACAGGAAAACTATAACTACCTATTATCTCAACACTATATCGTAGCCCAAACTTAGATTCAGCTTTTTATAGTTGGCAACAAACTCAGGGCCACTGTGCTGCCCAACTCCAGGGGATCAGATTATAATCTATAATTATATAATCCTCAACTACAACTGGCCCCTGAGTCTCCATCAAGTAACATCTCCAAAAAATGTATTTGCTCCCCTCTGAATCAGATCATCAGAGGTGTTCTTGAACACCCATTGCCATAAAGTGCCAGGGACAAGAACTTGATCTCATAGATCCTACTGTAAAATTCCTGCTAACAGTTTATCAGATCAAATAGCGTCTTCTCATCACCAAGCAGATAAAACACACCAACAAAACAGGGCATAGAGTATACCTACCCCGTGTTGCTATCAGGTGAGATCTTGCAAAGACAAACAAGTTAGACAAGAACCTTGTCTCTATAGACAAGAACCTCCTATCTTCTTGAGAAGCCAGAATTTCAAGGGGGTGCTCTTGGGCCTGCACTGTAGGGAATTGATATCTTTTTAGACCCAACTAATCCTTGATGGGTGTAGGCTCTGTGAAACATAGGCAAAATACTAAAGGATTGTAAAGAAGGGCAGGCTGAATACAGTCTGGGTGAGAGATCAAGAGATGCTGAGATAATCTACCAATAAAAATCCTAGTTATATTCACCTTTTATCCCCTGATAAGTCAGAGCACAGTGTTTCCCTGGTTCCCTTTCATATAACATCTAGCCTAAAAGTCCCCTTAGGTGCCCTCAGTTAAAGGGTATTGCCCTATCCTCTAGTTCCCAAATACAGAGTGAGGCCACGGTTGGGCCAAATTGGATCGAGTTGACCCAGAACAAATGCAGTTACATACACTGTGTTTCCAGGGTAGATTACTGCCCAGAGTGCTATCCTACTGGCCTGTTCTTTAGAAGCTTTATTCTGGTTGCTATTACTCCCTTAGGAGGAGTCCAGCCCCTGCCCTCAACAAAACCTCTAGGAAAGCAATCTGCTCATAGATCTAAAAAGTTCATCTCTTTGGAGAAAAAAATCCGTGAATTTGGTTTAAACCTGGACTGGAGTTTTTCTTGATCAAAACAGACAAAACAAAAACAAAAATAACAACAGAAATAAAACCCCAGTTAAGTAATTGAAATAACATGTACCAGGAGTTTTTTGTTATTCCTTACCCTCTGCTCATAGCTCAAGGCAGATGTGAAGGTGACTCATTTCTTAAACTGACCCAGATCTCTGCCCCAGGAAATAGGTCATCCTGGGTCTGAGCTCATGGCAAAGCCCAACTGGATCAGGGCCTCTTCTCAGCATTAGAGCCAAAGCTTCAGTCTGGAATCTGATCATCTGGGTTACTTAAGATACTTCTTTTAAAAATTATGTTTAAATTAGGACTCATCTGGTAGTATAAACTTTCCCAGCTGAGTACCCGATGCCATCAGAAATAGTTTAAAGGTGTTGATGGAATAATTGTTCTCATTGTAAAAGGAGTAAAAGGAAGGAAACTCATGAAAATTTCCCTGCTGCTTTGTATTTCATTTACAAATGGCTAAGCTCTTATATGAAATTTGTGAATAGTCCTTTTCAAGCATAAGTGTGGAGCTGTACAGGCATTCTCTCTCTGTCTCAACATCAATACCATTAAGTGGGCATCAATATCTGAAAATGTTTGTATGAACTTTCAATACCTGAAAGTATAACACTCTTACACTGCTGATGCCAATATTTAGGGCTTACCTCTGATCTAAAGAGAGCCCTCTTTGGTCCTTCCAAATAAATCCAAAACACCATGTCTGCAAATCTGAGTGCAGTCTGGTTTTTGCTACGAGGTACAAGCCTCTTAATTTGTCTCTCTGGCCCCATTCTCTTCTTCTGATATACCACACTTGGCCAAGAAACATGCTTCTTAAAATGCCAATGATGGAAATATGGAAGTCTCGGGGGGAAGCTAAATTTGGAATGAATGTGAGCTCACTTTTAGGCATATTATGTTTGAGAAGATGAAAGGGCATTAAGGAGAAGCCATTGCAAAGATAGTGACAGATTTAGAAAGTGCAAGAGGAAATTAGATCATCACGTGTAAATTTAAGTCATACAAATAAAGACGGTAGAATAATGAGATCTCTAAGTGAGAGTCTGAGAGTGTAGAGCAATGGTGAGCAATTTTTTTTTTTTAATGAAGGCCACTTAAAAGGAATAGAAAATGTTTCTGGGCCTTGTTTTTTAAACATTTAAAGTGAAAATAATGTACCTTTCATAACAAGAATTTATGCTGTGGGATAATTTATTAAGATATGAATATGTATCCATTCTTCCCCAGGCAGTGTTTTCCAGCCTGTCTTTGCTTGATATATTTGTGACGTGGAATTTAAGGAAAGGACAGTGGAGACGTGATGGTGGGGAAGGAGGAAGACAAAGGGAATAATTTAGCCAGAAAGGAGCTAAATCAACCTTTCAGGTGTTGGAAGAAAGAGAGAAGGGAGAAAATAACCAAGAGCCCAATAAACTGGGTCCTAGAGAAAGAGTTTGTGTTTTAGGACTAGAGAGAATAGAATGGAACTCAAGCGTGGCTCTGTAACCATGAATGGGTTCCTCATAGGTGCTCTTTGACAGCTGCAAGTAAGGATTGGAATACCTTTTTAAGATTGCAATGTATCTTTATATGTGATCCTGAGCAGAGTCTGAGGTAGGTGGGATCCCAGGATTAATTAAGGTTAAAAGAAGAATGCCAATGAGAAATTTGCCAATACTTTCGAACTGCTAAAATATTATCTGGTTATATGTAAGGAGTCACGACACAGAAGCAGCTTTCAAATCTTTTATAACTTAATTTGCATTACTTTTTAGCATTTATAAATATTTTCATATTTATGTCTCATTTTATCTTTGGAAAGACTCCTTCATTTATTATCGTCCTTAGTTTACAGATGGGGAAATTGAAGCTTAGAGGAGTGAAAATCAGAAACAGATCAGGGTTTATAATTAGTTTCAGTCAGTTGAACATCTACTGAGCTTTGATTACTGAGTTTCAGGTTATATTAGATATTGGGGTTGCAAAAATGGATAAAATGTGCTCCCAATCCTCAGCCACTCAACCAGTCCTTTCTTTGCTCTTCTCCAGTTCTCTCCCAGAGGTTTGATATCCCATCTTAGCTGGGGCTGGGCAGGTTCATGGTGTGATCCAAAGCTGAGCGTCACCGACACAGAGTGCTAGTTTATAGCAAGAACTGACTCCGGGGTACTCTCCAGTTCCATGCCTATGATGTAGTCATCAGAGTTGCAAAGGTAAGGAAGAAATGGGAAATCTCTTATACTGTGGGGAGGAGAATAAACTGGTACAACCACGTTGGAAGGCAATTTTTCATTCTCAAAGCTAAAGATGCCCTTACAATCTAACAATTCCATTTCTACATGTATAAATGAAACTCTCCCTCAAGTGCATAAAGAGACATGTAAATGACTGTTCATTGAAGCATTGTCTATAACAGGAAAATAATTGGAAACAACCTAAATGTTCATCAACCTGAGAATGGATAAGTAAATTGGTGTATGATCACACAGTGGAATACAATATTATAGTTAAAATAAATGAACTAGAACTAGAATTAGAATATGCATAAATCTCAACTAATAGAATATTGAGTGAATAAAACCAAGTGGCAGAAGATACATAAAGTATGCTACTGTTTACATAACTTTAAACACATCAAACAATACTGCATATTTCCGTTTGTAATAACATTTTAAAATATTCATGGTTATGATAAATTACCAAATTCAGGATAGTTGTTACCTCTGCTGAGAAAGCAGGATAATGATAGAGTATGTAGAAGCCTTTAGCCAAATCTGTATTTAAAAACAAAGACGTGGGTCTAAAGCAAATATGGCAAAAAGTAAATATGTGACAAAGCTGGGTGGGAAAGACAAAAGAAGTTGTTATATTATTTTCTATACTCTGTATGCTTAGACTATTCCATTTAAAAGTATCTGTGGTCCTTGAACCCTGGAATTCTGGGATTTTCTTGTGTTTTTTACTTTGTGCAGAATTTTCTTTTTTTTTCTTTTGCCCATGCTAAAATTCCGTCCATTCTTTGATACCTAGCTCAAGTCTCACTACCTTACTGAGAATTTCTGTGACCATCTTGTCAGTTCAAACTATTGCTCTCCCTTTTCAAAACCATGATAGATCTATAAAGCTCTCTTGTACACTATGTATTTATGACCAGATTCTTTCATACTGTTGTTTAAATATATATTGTCTTACATTAATATTTGACTTTGCACGTAAACCTTGTTTCTCCAATTGTAAGAGACAATGTCTTAAATGTCTTTAATTCTTCACCAGTGCCCAGTAGAGCCTAACCAGATACTTATTAAAGAAAAGTGATATATAAACCATAACCCTTCCTACAAAACCTTTACATAGAAAGTTGAAAATACTAGTTTGTGCTACATTTGCCTTTATTTTCCAAGAGAGAGAATACTAATGAGCTGTGAAATGACCAAAAATCAGGCAGCAGAAGGGAAAAGAAGAAATAATGGATTTGTATATTACACATTCTGGATAATCAGCTCTTGAATGATTAAATGTGGATAATCTCTTATGGGGAAAAGCAGGTTTTAAAAATTCATTTTATGACTATTGAATTGTTTTATAGTTATTTCCAGTTTTCAGACACTCCTAGGCCAAACGTACAAATGATTTTTTTTTATGTAAATTTATTTATTTTTGGCTGCACTGGGTCTTCGTTGCTACGCGGGTTTTCTCTAGTTGCAGTGAGTGGGGACTACTCTTCATTGTGGTGTGTGGGCTTCTCACTGCGGTGGCTTCTTTTGTTGCAGAGCACGGGCTCTAGGTGCATGGGCTTCAGTAGTTGTGGCTTGCAGGCTCAGTAGTTGTGGCTCGCAGACTCTAGAGTGCAGGCTCAGTAGTTGTGGCTCACGGGCTTAGTTGCTCCGCGACATGTGGGATCTTCCTGGACCAGGGCTCGAACCTGTGTCCCCTGCATTGGCAGGCAGGCTCCTAACCACTGCACCACCAGGGAAGCCCCTACAAATTATTTTGAAAAATATTTCCTCTCATGATATGTTGCATAATCACACACAAATGTACCTTGTTATCATTCTGCCTTCATTCCAGTATTTATTAGACCAGACATGGGAATGGTGTTCCGATGAAACTAAAAAACAAAAGGTTTTCCACCTATGGAATCAGGGAAGGATTTTGGAGAAAAAAAAATTTACTTTGAGTTCAATTTACCCTTAGTCTATCTTGTAAAAAGTGCTTGTATTTGAGGCAACCACCTCACCTAACACCTCAGAGTGAAAGGTGAGTCTGTACTAGGCCCAGGAGGAAAGCTGATGAGCATAGGAAATGGTAAGAGGTCTGGACTGCATTGTCTCTCCTCAGAATGAAAAGTCGGTTATCACAGAATGAGATAAATTTAGGAATCAGTGTGGTTACTTTTAGCAGAAGCAGCAGCTCCTATGGTCTATTTCAAAACTACCCCCATTTTGTCCCTGGTGAGTTTTCCTAATGGACCTTTGTGATGTTTTATTAAACCAGGCCACTGTCTCATGGTTCTTTGGCCTAAGTGCTACAATACCCAAAATACAGTTCCTTAAATTAAACCTTACCTACATCTGTATTTATGATGGTATTCTTAACTCTACAGTGTACCTCAGGGAGGTTATATCTTTAAAATTATTACCACCTCTCTCTCTATGTCATTTGTGTCCTGGCGAAGAAAATATCTTGCCGTTTGGTAAGAGATAATATATTCCCTCATGTTCACCTCATTTGTGGGCATTAATGTTGAAGCAAAGCCTTAAAGCAGTGACCAGAGTATTTTTATATTAATGATGTATCTTATCACTGCTCTCTGCAATTTTTCCTTTCCTTAAAGAGAAGCAAGAAAAATGCTGTTATAAAGAGAATATATCCAATGAATATATTGGGTTCTCAAAGTTCCCTAAAAGAAAAGTGTTTATAACTTGGAATTGATTTCCCATGGAAATCGTGTGATTAATTATGGTTACATTCTAAGTCAAGGCCACAAAATCGAAATAATATTAATAGGTGTGGCAGTTGATTAAGAAATCACATCTTGGGCTTCCCTGGTGGCGCAGTGGTTGAGAGTCCGCCTGCCGATGCAGGGGACACGGGTTCGTGCCCCGGTCTGGGAAGATCCCACATGCCGCGGAGCGGCTGGGCCCGTGAGCCACGGCCGCTGAGCCTGCGCGTCCAGAGCCTGTGCTCCGCAACGGGAGAGGCCACAACAGTGAGAGGCCCGTGTACCGCAAAAAAAAAAAAAAAGAAATCACATCTTGTTTTCTTGTCTCTGGGCTTGCCATGGAAAGACAAGAAGTACTTTTCCCTTCTCTTCTCTAGAGGGAAGGTTAAAATGTGGTGATTTTCTAAATGTGGTGATTTGGGCGACAGAAGACTCAGTTATCTGGAAGGAGAAGGGTTCTAAGAAAATGGGAATGGCTTGACTTCAGGAGAATTTGGATCTCCTGAGCCCAGAAGGAGGAGAGAACCAGACAAGAGTCAGTTTCCATAAATGGTGAAGACCCATGTCCACTTCCAAATAACATATCAGAATGGTTTAGACCTCCACGGGGATGCCAGCAAGGATATGTTGTCTCAGAAGTAGTAAAAGTATGGACTTCCCCGGTAGCGCAGTGGTTAAGAATCTGCCTGCCACTGCATGGGACACAGGTTTGAGCTCTGGTCCAGGAAGATCCCACATGCCGCAGAGCAACTAAGCCCCTGCGCCACAACTACTGAGTCTGCGCTCTAGAGCCCATGAGCCACAACTACTGAAGCCCATGTGCCTAGAGCCCATGCTCCTCAACAAGAGAAGCCACCACAATGAGAAGCCCGCACACCACAACAGAGAGTAGCCCCTGCTTGCCGCAACTATAGAAAGCCCGCATGCAGCAACGAAGACCCAACACAGCCAAAAATAAATAAATAAATTTATTTTTAAAACAGTAGTAGGGCTTCCCTGGTGGCGCAGTGGTTGCGAGTCCGCCTGCCGATGCAGGGGACACAGGTTCGTGCCCCGGTCCAGGAAGATCCCACATGCCACGGAGCAGCTGGGCTCGTGAGCCATGGCCGCGGAGCCTCTGCGTCCGGAGCCTGTGCTCCGCAATGGGAGAGGCCACAACAGTGAGAGGCCCATGTACCGCAAAAAACAAAAAAAAAACAGTAGTAAAAGTATTAACTTATACTAAGCTTAAACAAGTCAAGGGTACATGTTGTAAACTCTAGGGTTACTATTAAGAATAGTAAAAGTATGTATAAACAATATATTATATAAATAGTAAAAGAGAGAATACAGAATAATAATAAAGAAAACACTCAATTAAGCCAAAGGAAGGCAAGAAAAATGATAAGAAGGAGCAAGTAACAAGTGGAATAAATAGAAACCAAAATAGTAAGATGTTAACTATTAACCCCAATATGTCATTAATTACCATAAATATAAATGGCACAATATTCTATTAAGGAACAAAGATTGGGCTTCCCTGGTGGCGCAGTGGTTGAGAGTCCGCCTGCTGATGCTGGGGATATGGGTTCGTGCCCCGGTCCGGGAAGATCCCACATGCCGTGGAGCAGCTGGGCCCGTGAGCCATGGCCACTGAGCCTGTGCGTCCGGAGCCTGTGCTGCACAACGGGAGAGGCCACAACAGTGAGAGGCCCGTGTACCGCAAAAAAAAAAAAAAAAAGAACAAAGATTTTCATACTGGTTTTAAAAATATATGTGCTTTGTACAAAAGATACAAGAGTAATAATCTAAAATTATGACACAGAATAGTTAAAAGTAAAAGGATAGAAAGACATTTTATGCAAACACTAGCCCAAAGAAAGCTTGTATAGCTATAAATAACATATAAAGTAGACTTTAAAGATAGAAGCATTATTAGAAACAAAGTGTGATATTTAACAATAATAAAAATATTAACCCATCTAGAAGATAAAACAACTCTAATTTTGCACACAACTAGCAATATAGTACAAAATACATAAAGCAAAAAAAAAAATTGTCAAAATTTCAAGGAGAAATAGACAAATCTACAATCACAGTAGGAGCTTTTAACTCGTCTCTCAGGAACTGATAGAACAGGAGACAAAACATTTAAACAACATGACTTACAAAATTGACATGATGGATATATATGGAATATTGCACCCAACAACTGCAAAATTCCCCAACACATACAACCTAAGCAATGTATTTCTAAGTAATTCATCAGTCAAAGAAAAAAAACACAGTAGA